AGTTTTTGGTAGGTTGCCCCGGCGTTTTTCAACCCGAAGGGCATCATTCTATAGCAATAGAGACCTCAGTCCGTGATAAAAGAGGTGTGCTCCTCATCGGCTGGATGCATGGGGATTTGATTGTAGCCGGAGTATGCATCCATGAAGCTCAACAACTCGTGTCCGGCTGTGGAGTCTACCAATTGGTCAATCTTTGGAAGCGGAAAGCTGTCTTTTGGGCAAGCTCTATTGAGGTTGGTAACCAGGACTGGGTTGGAAACCAGGACTGGGTTGGAAACCCACCTCGGATAGGAGGCCTCCCTGATGAAGCCATTTTGGATGAGCTTCTGAACCTCTTCCTTCAGGGCCTCATACCTCTCAGGGTTGAGGGCTCTTTTTTTTGTCTATACGGGGCAACCTTAGGATCAATCTTCAAGTGGTGGCTGCTGACCTTGGGGTCAATGCCCACAATGTCCTCATGCCTCCAAGCAAAGATGTCAAGGTTCTTGCCTAGAAAGTCCTTAATCTTTTTTCTCAAAATGTCGGATAGACCTTTGCCTACCTTCAGCACCTTGGAAGGGTCTCGGGGGTCGACCGAGAAGTTCTCAAGTTCCTCTACAGGGTTGCTTAAGGCTCATGTTCCATTATGCGGGGGTCAATCTCGTCAATAATCAGCACCTCAGGATTATACGGTGCGTCAATCATATCAACATCTTCTTGTTCAGCGGGAGCGTCACCTGGGATATCCGCCATGACCACATCAGCCATGATCACGTGGACGTCCCGGGGCTCTACCTTCTTAATGGAGCTTAGATAGCACTCTCTCGAGCCTCTTTGGTCGCCTCTTTAGGGCTGGTCTGCCCAAGACTCCGTGGTAAGTCGACCGGCTGTCAACTATGAGGAATTCCATGAAATTCATTGTAGTTTGAGGAGACTCTTCCATTTCCACTGCCAACATTATCTTTCCCCTCGGAGTGATGCTATCTCAGGTAAATCCATACAATGGAGTGGTGGTGGGTGTCAACTGATGGTCCAATATCATTTTGTCAAAGGCGGACCCAAACAGGATGTTGACGGAGCTACCGTTGTCGACTAGTATTCGTTTGAGCCCATTCCGGGCTATGACAGCCCTCACCACAAGCTCATCGCAATGGGGGTAATGAACTCCTTCGGCGTCTTCCTGGGTGAAGACAATGGGTGGTACTTGGTTTCTTCGGGAGCTATTATCCACAATGCAACTCGTCAAAGGGGGGTGTTTAGCCTCCCGAGCATAATTTATTTTGGCGATTCGTGTTTCGCCACCAACATAAGGGCCTCCAAATATGGTATCCACCTCCTGGATAGGGGCCTCATCTTGAGCGAGCCAATTTCTTCGGTGCCTACGCCCTTCCCTAGGCCTCTCTGCATCATACTTCCTTCGTCGTGGGGATTCATCCCTTTGACGGGGAGCGACCTCCTCACGCCCACGTTGGTTGTCGTGCCTGGGCGAGGGCATGTTCACCTGGGGCGAATCATGTCTATCTCTGGTGGGTTCCTGCCGGGAGCGGTGTGCATAGTCTCTGCAATCTGCGGTGTCATGCCCGTAGGACTGTGGTGCAGACGAGGTTCGGATTGGACCTATTTCTAGGTGCAAGGCCTCGGCCTCGGCCTCTCCCTCTGCGCAGTCCCCGTTGGGCCTCCATCTGATGTGGGTCAGCAATTGGATTGACATCCTCATATGCCAAGGTAGGAATCGCGTTCAGAGTTGTGGTGGCCAGTGCTTGTCCAGAGTTCTCATTTCCGGTCTGGTTCATCTGGTAGTCCATGAGGTGGGAGGTCGGACCCCTACCTCGCTGCCTTTGAGGAGGTGGGAGGCCTCTGTTTGCCCTGTTCCTATGCTCAATCAATTCCTCATTGATTATCTCCCTTCTCATCATCTCTAGTAGGGCGTCATAGGTGGCGAGGTCTTGATTCTATACATCCCTCCAGAATAGGGTGTTCATGTTCAGGCCTCCCCTTAATGCAGATAGTGCTTCTCTGTCTGTGACTTGTACGCAGTAAGTCATCTCGTCGGTAAAGCGTGATAAGAAGTTCTTTAGGGACTCCCCATGTGCCTGTCTCATGTCTTGGAGACGCTGGATGGGGGCCTCTCCTTCCTTGCTTACTGTAAATCGCTTCAAGAATGTTGTCTTGAACTCGGGCTAGCTTCGGATGCTCCCAGGTGGCAACCTGCTATACCAGATTTCAGCCGCTCCACTGAGGGTTAAGTGGAAAGCCCTGCACTTCATGGCTAGGGTGGCACCCCTTAGGCTCATGTGAGTTTTGTAAGTGTTGAGGTGCTTCTCCGGGTCGCCTCTCCCGTCATACTTTGGTATCTTTGGCATGACGTAGTGGCTCGGGACCTGGGCATTCCTTAGTTCTCTTGAGAATGGCACGTTCTCATCATCATCATCTAAGTCACAGGACCTCTGCTGCTCATCAGAATCGTAGTCATCGGCCTCGTACCTTGGTTGTTGGTGAGAGGGTCCGGGCCGGTTCCTAGCCTCTTCCTCCCTCCTTTGCGGGGCAGCGCGGGGGGCATTTTCACGCCTTCTCTCCGGCGGCTGGGGCATTGGAGGTGGAGGCTGTGGCCTCGCCCAAGGCTGCTGAGCCTGCTGTTGACTGAGCCTCGGTTCGGCGGGGCTGATTCTGTCAAAAACACTGCCAGCTCTCCTACGTCTTGGATCTTGCTCATATGGAGGTGGAAAATCATCGTGGCTCATTTGGGCCTCGGTGGGTCGGCCAGAAGCATAGTTGGAAGAAATGTCGACTCCCACTTCCCTCTCGAATGGGCTTCCACCTCGGCCATAGTCTGGTGAGGCAGCCCTATGACTCTGAACCTCGTCCTCTTGCTGATAGTGCCCGTGGGGAGCGTATGGAGGAATGGGGAAGCCTCCCTGGCCTTGCATTTGGGCCATGAGCTCCCTCATGGCTAAGTTTTGGTTGACAATATCCCTCATGTTGGCTGCCATGGTAGCCATTTCTCTTGACAGTCGTGTTGTCGCACGCATTCCACCTCTCCTTTGGTGGTGGTGGAGCCTCGACCGAGCTACTGGGGCAGCAGGCTGGGGAGGCACATTCGTGCTTTCTCTTACCCTCCTTGGGGGGTATCTTCGTTAGAGCTCATATTTCTTTTATCAAACTCAGATTTATCCAAGTGATAGGGGTTCCTCCTGCTCTTTTTCGAGAACAAATCCTTTTTCAAGGGGGGTTGCGCAAATATTTTTCAGTAGGCTTTTACCACAAGGTTGCTCGTGGTTATAGTATGATTTTCCACAGACGGCGCCAATCTGTTGACCCCAAAAAGTGCGCCAACAGATGCCAGTCCCACCCGCGCTTGCGTGGGTGAATGTCCAACACGCTAAGACACGTGGACGGTTTAAAACGGGCGGTACAAAGGGCGTGGGAGTAGCCCAACGACGCGGGACGGTGACGTTTGGAATCCTGCGGGTTGTTCGTAATCCGATTGTACAATAATTACCAACCGGTGTTCATAAAGGTATATGTAAATGTGTATAAACTCGATTTGTGTATTGCAAGTAAAATGAGAGAGTTGAGTAAAATGTAGTTCTTTGTATTGATTCTTGCATTAGCCTTTTGATTTTACACGAGGAAGTATTTATAGTAGTACATATGAAATGGGAGCCCTTGGATGAAGTGGCACGTGACCTCATCTCTTTAGTTCAAACATCTTTTCTTAGGTATGGGGCTTGACTTGCTAACTTACGGCGCATTTATTGCTTGTGCAGGGCCTCTATGCTAGTGACAAGACTTAACCTTTATGCATATGACAAACGTTCCATCAATCATTCGAATAAGATCTGTGCAGGCGATCTCTTGGGAGAAGTGACCATGGGGGATGTTTCTTTGTGGTTCAGAGGCTCGTGCATCAGCTTCGGGGCTTCGGCCATTGTCATGATACTTTCAAAGGAGGGCCTCAGCTGTTCTCAATAGGTTCCTGCAGCCTGACTTCGGTTAGTGGGCCTCGGACAAAAAGGAGCCTCGGCAGATGGATTTCGGCTGGAAGCAGTTCGGATGTAGCCCACCTTGGCATTGTGTGCCACCTCGGCAAGAATGCCACATGGATCGCCATGGGCGGGCCATCGTCTAGGTAGGTTGGCCAGATGTGACAACACGCAATATATTTCACCTTATTTTGCCGAATGATTTGCAATTCGGGAGGGCTACGATTTGCTAGCAAACATTCTTTGAACATCTCTTAACTTGAGTTTGACTGCATTTATGCCACGATGTTGGTTAACGCTCCTCCACTAGCTCGAGATGGCATCATTCTCTAATCTCCATATCTGATTTATTGCACTTTTATTTGTTGCAAAACAAATGTCGTTGCTCATACTCTAGCTGCTCATTTTGTATTGCACTTTTCTAATTTAAAATAAAATGTCTTGTGGAGCCAAATAATACTTCTTGCACAGGGTCGGTGACAAGGGCTTTTGACAAATGCTGCATTGACAATATCGGCAAAAATTTTTATTTTCTATTTTTCAATCATACCCCTGACCCTGTTTTTGTAGCATGATTGTGTGGAGCCCTCTAAGCTTCATCTTCGAGGCTGTCTTGATTAGTGTTTAAGTCTCATTATTTGAAAACTAAATTTTGTCTCAAACTCATTTTAATTAAGTAATTTTTTAATAAAATAATTTTATACGAAAATCTATAATTTTTTTACTTTTAAATCATACATTTTTCAAAAATTCACAATTACAGAATTATTCTCTCAAAACATGAGGTTTAAATAAATCTTTAATGAAATCTAGCCCATATTCTCTCAAAAAAATTTATGTCTAAAGTAAAAGAGATGTGAGATTTAGAGCTTATTATGAGAGAAATTAAAGAGTTTTGAATAATATTTTTTGCAGAATGTGTGGTTTTTATTGATTTCTGTGTAGAATATTTTATTGTGTGAATGTATGGTGAAAAATTTTATTGTAGCAAACAATTTAATTTGCTAAATGATAACAAACAGGGGCTTATTTGTGGATTTTATACAATCGTTTTAGGCCAATTTTGGTTTTATCGCTCAACAAATTTACCCTTTAAATAATTTTCAAAAATCGGCTTTTCTGTCTCCAACCAATATTTATTGGTAATCCAATCAAAAAAGGAGAGAAAACATGGGCGAGCCAGAGTGAAAAAGGAAATACTTTTCCAATCGAGATATGAAGATTTTTGGGAAATATATATATCCACGGCAGATCATACTTTTTGCTTCGGGGTAGGTTTTCTCAGCCTTTTTGTTCTCAGTTTCTACTCAGTACACACGAATTAACATGTATTTGAACTCTAATTACACGGCAGGGTTTTATTCTTGGCTTCAACAACGTATGATGTTCACAGATCCATAAAAAACAACGAAACACCACCCACAGAGGAACAAATCCAAGCTTTGGAAGATTATATCAGGTCCGTTCGTCGCCCTCCGTAATCAAGCGCGGAAGATGATGGTTGATAAAATTATATGTATTCCTTCCGGTCTTCATTTTTTTTTTTTTTTTGAAGAAGAAGAATTATTTTAAAAGGTTTGAACGCGAAGATAGAGATAGAGATAGAGATAGAGTAGGATACGTACTCCTACTGGATATATTTTAGCCACGTTGCACTTAAGAAAGTATGGTATCTAAGGAAGACGATCGAGAAAGGAAATGAGTAGTGTCATTCTGTTTTTATTTTCTTTTCTTTTAATTAGGTGTCTGTCTTTAATAATCTTTAATTAGTTATTTCCATTTACGCGTCTCTTAATCATAATTAGTTATAGTAAACTTATAGCTTGTTTGAATTTTATTCTCGTACCTTAGTTATTATAGTTCACTGATCAATTATTTCATTAATTATGTTGACCTCATTTTTTGTATGGATGACGTGGCTAACAGATCACTAGTCCTCTCGCATTCATGTAAATCTTTTGTCATGCACATTTAGACAAATCGTAAGTCGCACATGACCTTCTTGGGTGGCGAAGAGGACGGCAACACGAACTTTGACGATCAAGTCTATTAATGTATAAATAAAAGGGGTGTGAGACGTGCTAGAGATGTGAGTCACTAAGTGTTGAGGGGTCGGATTCTAAAGGGTTTCAAATGAATATGTAGCGAGTAAGTTTATTGCTTGAATGTATAAAATTGCATTACCAGTTAATGACATAATTTGTGAGCTTTTATATTATAAGAGGTATGATGTTGATCGTTGGATGGAAAGACACATAGCCGCATCTTGTGATTGACATGTCACTCGATCCATCATAGGGAAATCCATTGATGGATCTGTATGGAAGATCTCCTAGGATGATGTGACGTGGAAGATGCCTTCTGTGTGTGGAGGTTTCTAGCCTTCTGTGTGTGGAGGTTTCTAGCCTCCACATCTTCTTTGTAGTGTGTTGACACTTAGGTTCGATCATGGAAGGTCGGCCTCAACTTGGTGCCTCGGTTGAAGTGGTGCATCATCTCCGCTACCTAGGTGCCTCGCCTTAGTAGGATAAAAGATGATGTAGAGTGTGAGTCTTGTTGATTTTGTTTAGCTGGTTACCATCATGTGTGATGATCCGAGGAATCGTTTGGACGAAGTAACAAATTATGTAATTAGAATGCCTTACAAACTTTTTTCATCTTATTTGTAACTGCTATGAACAGCAATCATTATCTTGTCGAACATTAACCCCATCCGTAACAAATTTTTTCAGTCCACACGTGGACATCACATCAAACACTGAGAAAAGGCGGAGAAATTTGCACCTGTCTATTACGAAAACTATGGCCTTGTTTGGGAGGGATTTTGAGAATTGATTTTTTGATCGTTAGAAAAAAAATGAAGTCTACCTGTGAGAGAAGAAGTCAAAAATTACGGTTGAAGTAGTGAAATAATGGTTAAAAAATCAATTTTTTGGAATTAAAAATTCCTCCCAAACAGATCTTATATAACTTGGCACAAAATGTAAATTCTTGAGAAATCTGCATTCCCATTCTCTACAGTGATTGTTATACTGCAAATTCTCATCCATGCTTGGCAGCTGTCATTTCTGTTGCCTTTGACATCTTCAGATCATTCTTCAAAATTTTTTTTCCCCTATTCAACCAAGAATGCATTTATTGCAAAAAATAAGAACACGCAGAAATAAGAGAAAATTATATAAAACAATCTAATGGTGACAACGAGAGAATTTTGAAAGTATATTCATTTTCTTTCAATATGTAAAAGGCGATGATATCAAGTTTAGACGTGCGTGGACGTAAAATAATAAATATCAAACAACTAAGATTATAACTACTATAATTAATTATGAATTCTTACAATTAGACAATTTTTAAATTTTCAAAAACTAGGCAATTTATTGAGAGTGCAAGACCATTTTGAGATAAATGGGTCCAATAAATTGTTTATAGGGAAATTTTCATATCTAAAAAATTAAGTATCACTTTATTTCAAAATTAAGAATCAAGGTTTAAAACATTAAAAATGAGATATTAATTAAATTTTATTTAGAAATAATAATATTAAAAATATGTATACTATAAATTAAATATATTAAGATGACAATTCTATACAATTTGATCACAATTAGCGAACTAATTGGTCACACATTATTTCTCAAATACAAATTAACAATTTTTTATGTCATAAATTATTTCACGATCATAAATCAAAAATTTTATAGATCACGATTTGTTTGTCGATCATAAATCAAAAAAATTAATAGGTCAAAATTTTTTAATTAGTCACAAATCACAAATTTTATAAGTCACAACGTATTACACGATCACAAATTAACAAATTATCGCCACAAATCATTTTACTGGTCACAATTTATCTATTTCATTGGTGTAATATTGTTTTTGATCACATATGAACCAATTTTTTGTCATAATCAACCAAATAATTTGTGACCATCACCTGACCAGCCAACAGTCGCACTATCAACATCTCTTGACAGCAACACCACCATCTCAAAACAAGTCAACACACACTACCAAAAACCACCACACTTCACAACCACTGTGACGGCAATGACAACGACATATAATTGGCCACAGCAACCACCAGCACTAATGGAACAATGCGTCACCTCAACATCATTGTAGAACCACCACCGCCAGTGCCACCATCGTCACTACCTATACCAACAATGATTCAACCCTGTCACCTACGCCACCACCAATAGCCCTTCATCTCTATCACACCACAACCACAATCCCCTACCCAAAAAAATCTCCAAAGTCACGGTTGTCTACACTACCAGAAACACCACCGCTTGTACATGAGCGTCGCTGCTAGCTAAAATCACTGGACAACCACCACAAAACATCAACAATCGTAAAAAACAACCTCCAAACACTACCATACCACAAACACCACTAATTGCAATGGGATTTGAATCTGTATACTGACACCATCGTTGTTGCCACCACCATCACCACCAATATCAACACCTACATTGATACCAACACCAACACCAACACCAAAAATTTCTCTCATCGTCAACAACAGCATCACTTGAGAAGAAACACCACTTAGAATTGTTAGGCACTGGGCACCCGTTTTCGACGTTGCCGTAGGGCACTGCTGACGCTGGTGCGAACAATACCACATTGGCACTATTGCATTGTTTGCAGTGAAGATGGTGGTGATTGATGCAACGAACCGGGGGAGGGGGAGAGAGAGAGAGAGATACAACATTATCGCTCATCTAGCAGCGACGTCAGCATCTTCATTGCTACAGTAACGGTGTCGATTGACATTGTCACTCAGCATGTAGTGTAGACGACATCATCGCTACTGTTGCAGCAAATGTAGAACGACTAGAGATGATAGAAACGACATCCATCACCATCGGTGGTGTAGTGACGGAAAGATGAGTTTATGGTAGAGAAGGGAGAGTGAGGAGAGAGAGAGGAGGGGGAAGAATGATTTAGGGTTTGGGAATAAAATTTGATTAGGTGGATAGTGAAAGGGGTATATAGATTAATTTAATTTTATAATAATATTATTAATGTTTATAATTTTAGTTATATCTCATTTTTGAACATCTCAATTCATAATTAAGAGTTACTAGTTTGTTTTATTTATTTATTTTTTTCAAAAATCAGATATAATTAAAATTACAAATATTAATAATAATATTGTAAAATTAAATTGATTTATATATTCATCCCTAACGGCATCCACCCCAAGAAATTTCATTCCCAAACCCTAAATCTCCCCCCCCCCCCTTTCTCTTTGCCATAAACTTATCATCTAGTCATTGCAAAACTGGTGATGATGGACGTTGCTTCTATCATCTCCACTCGTTCAACGCCACTGCAACAGTGGCAATATGCTGACTCCACCAGCAGTGATGGTAAGGTGATGCGTTGTTCCATTGGTGCTGATGGTGGTTGTGACCAATTATATGTCATCATCGTCATCGTGGCAGTGGTTGTGAAGTAGTGGTGGTTTTTGGTAATGGCTGTTGGTTTGTCTGAGATGATGGTTTTGCTAGTGGGAAGGTGGTTGTGGTAGTTTTGGCGGTGACGATGTTGGCAGTAGTGTGATTATTGACAATAGTGAGGTGATGCTCAAAATTATTTAATTAATTGTAACCAATAAATTGGTTAATGTGTGATCAATTTGTAACCAATGATCAATAGTTTAATAATGTGATTGTGTAATAAGTTGTGACTTATAAAATTTGTGATTGATAAATAAATGGTGGCCTATAAATTTTGTGATTTTTGAACCATGTATAAATTGTGATCTATAAAATTTTTGATTTGTGACTAATTAATTCGATAATTGTGATCAAATTGTACAAAATTATAACTTCAATATATTAATTTAATCTCTTAGATATGACTTTTCCCTTATACAAATCTATTGTAAAGCTCATATTAGTCATTACGTCCAATAATGATTCCAAAAATATTGAAAAGAGAAAATCTGAAAAAATTAAAATAATAGCCACATACCTTTACGCTCTTAGGCCCACTAGACCCATATTAGTCTGTCCGGAAATGCTAAACAAACAGGGGCCTTGACAGGCACCTCCTGTTGGAGGGGGTGCGGACTCCAATATAGGGCGCCAAATAGGCGCTTATCAAGCCCCTTGTCACAATAGCATTTTCCATAGTCAGTCAAAAGAGGAGCCAATTGTATTTTTCTACGCTTTGCTCTTATGCGATGGAACGTTTTAAAAATATCTCACTCTGAAGCATGCTTTATGGTACTTTTTCACGTCTTTTTGAACATCGCTTACAACTATAGGCCATGTCGCCCTATAAATATTGCTATAAGCCACATTTTACCGTTATTAATTCTATGGTGCTATATAACAGTTAAATGGAATGGTATTATTGTCGACTAAATAATATACATCAGTTTCGAGAACAAAAGGTGACAAAATGTAACGAAGTAATGAAATTTAAAAATAATTTGACATCCAAATGAACCGATTGAAATTTTATAGAAAGTTTAGTTCCCATTGAGGAATTTATCCTTATATTTTACAATACCGTCCAGCATCAAGGTACATCTTTGGCTTTTTTATTTTTATTTTAGTTCAAACCACCCTATTGTGTTTTAAACCACTCTCTGCGCATGCTTTATTATTGACATTAAAACACATTAAACCATCCTATTGAAGTGCATTATGTTGGGACCAATGGAAACGAAAGGCAAGAATTGAGATTTAATGGACACCAATTTGAAGTATAATACAAAATTGAAAAATACCACGAACAAGATTAAAATAAAAGATGAATTAAGTAGAGGAACGACGAATTTTATTAATATGGAGAGAATTACAACTGGACAGCAATGACGCTTCAGTAAAATTGACAGAGAAGCCTTGTATTTATAGTACACTTGGTCTAGCGCTAAAAGAGTCCTATAAAAGGTAGAAATATATAATTCAATTAGACTCCTAATTGAGTCACATTTCTAATAATCTCCACCTTGATTCAAATTTCGGTGTAACGAACGAAACTCCTAGATTTCAAATCCGTCTGCAACAAAATGAACTGACCAATCTCCTCAACGCAATAACCAAACTCTCCATTACCAAACTATCGTCCTCTGCACGACGTCCACAAGCGACATCCGAACCCAAAACCCGGGTTCCCAAAATTTCTCCTGGAATTAACAATCACTAGATATGGTCGAAGCACACCCTGTAGCAGAAACCACACCAAATACAC